CCTCTCTCGATGCTGCATAAAGGAATAAGGACACCATGTGAAGGAAAAAACATCCACATGAAATAATAAAATTTTAAATACCAATTTTATTAAGAGAAGCAGCAAAGGGGGCAAATAAAAGCAAACAGTATAAATACTCTGTACAGTGTACCATAAAACCTCGTCTCATGACATCATTAGATCTGACTGTAGCACACACCAGATCATCCAGGTCCTCAGAGGCCATGCCCATAGTGGACAAGACTGTGACTAGTCACTCAGGACATACAACACAGAACACCCCACCTACACATATAGCTAGTCCTCAGCTTCCAAACATTGAACAGCTGAGCACAGCTAAACTCCTGCTGTAAACATGCCAGACTTCCCTCTGAGGTCCCAAAGCCCCTAGGCTATTCCAGATGCTCCCCTAAAATTTTGGACCAACCGTTCCCCTGCCGCTCAGAACTGGAAATCACTGAATCTTCATATTCCCAGGGTATCTGGGGCAATGGGGGTGCCTAAGAATCAGTGCCTCAGATATTGGGGATTCAAAAAGAAGGCTCAGGAGAGGAAGCTCTCAGGTCACACATAATCTCAATATTATTGACAAACAATCTCTCTTCTGGCTCCCTGCTCCATTCCTCTGGGATGTCCATGTGCCAGGGCAGATAGGAGTGCACCTTGAAGCCGCCCTTCCGCAGGGTGCAGTCAGCAGGTTCCAGCTCTAACCCCATCCTTGAGTACTTTAGGATGCTCAGTCTCCAGCGGCAGCTCAGGTCCATCTTTTGAGGTCCAGTCTTCAGGTGGGCCTGCATCATGGCTTTTGTGTCCAGCAACACCTGCCAGCGATTGACCTGGGTTCTGACAGCCCATAAAGGAGTCATTGACAGCAAGTAGCAGACAGTACCACAGCCACACAACACCAAGTTGTAATCCAGGTTTTCCAACCACGTCCCTATTACGTTGCACATGGGCCAGAGGGGACTCAGCTCCAACAATACAGGTTGCTCAGAAACTGGGTCCACATTGAAAACATCCCACAAGGACAGAGGGGGGATGATGCACTGGTGGGGGCAGGGATAGAAGCTACCTAATCTCCAGGGAAGGGGTTGATTCCAGTCAGTATCCTCGGGGCCTGGGTCCAGGGGTACAGTTTCCTCAGGCTCCAGATCTGACCCTACAGAGCCTGGAGTCAGAAAGCCATGACTTGAATTGTCACTGGTGGCATCAGACATATGTTCTTGATCTTCTGCACAGATTTGCCCTGACCACTCCTCTG